TGTTGTGTTATGTAATGTTTCATTATGTTATGTTGTGTTATGTTATGTTGTGTTGTGTTATATATATTTTTTTTTTATTTATTAGACCTTTATTTATACAGGTTAGTTCCCATTGAGCCTTGAAGGCTCATTTACAAGAGAGATCTAATTACAAACAGCATACAGGCAGATGAGAAAAAGAGAACACGAGGGTGGAGGAAGTAAAAAAAAAATCATATCTCACACAATTTCCTGGCCGGGAAACAGTGTGAAAGATGAGCTTGTAGGTTACATAAGCTCCAGGAGCAATTTGAGATAAGGTGGCCTGTCCAAGTCCAGTGGGGAGGCTAAATTCAGATAAACAACAGTTGTTTGGGCCGCCAGACTCTGATTTCTGTCTGCTTTTAAGTTTTGCTGGTACAAACAGCCAGATTAGTGGACATTCTGCCCAGTCCGTGTTCAATTAGCTCTCTCCAAGATTGACTCCTTCATGCTGGCAAGTTTCAAGAGCTCGGTATGTGTCTGAGTCTGAGCGCTCGAAGCACAAATTAATCTTTCACATAAGGCTGGCAACTTTATCAAGGCCAAAACTGCTGCTGACATCTTCCTGATTGGTCAATATCCTAGGTATCCGCCGATTCTAAAAAACAGAAACCCTGTTATCATAAATCCAATAATGCACACATCTTCAATGTCCTCCAGGACAGCACAGATAGGCACGTCATCTTCCAATCACTCCAGGAATCAATGACATTCCCAGCTGCGTGGGTCTGTTCAGGGCATGAGGGTTCTCCAGCACCATGTCGTCTATGGAAAACATTTTGTCAATTGCGTTAAGGGACCAGCTGACCAAATCCATAATCATTTTCTATTCGGAAGATGTGTAAAGAAGATGCGCTGAGATTGACAGATCAAGAGGGCAAAAAGCAGGAGGGAGGGAGGGATGGTAAGAGCGACCATCTGTGTCGAAGGCAAAATAGGGAATGATGTGTTAGGTTGTGTTGTGTTATGTTATAAGTTATGTTGTGTTAAGTTTCAGTTGTATTCTGGTTTGGATACCTGAAGGTAGAAGTGTTGTTCAGGATTGTCTTGGTGTTATTGCTTTTTATTCCAGCCTCCGCATGGTGTTGACAGTAATGGTCACAGTCACAGAATGCAATATGCAAGTGTTTTTCATGTGACTGCAGCTGTTGCTTTAACATGTGTGGTGACGCTTGTGCTCATATTTGCTCATATTTTGAAACTAAATGAGTCTAAAAGGAGTAAAATCAAATGTTACAATCACAAAGCAATTGTTATCTGAGTTATCTTGTTGTGTGTTTGCATGTTTGTTCACTGGAGTTTCTTAGTTTGCATGAATGTAGTGAAGATTTTGACATCCTTTAGTGTTTAATTTTGATAATTTAAATTGATTAATTTAATTTAACAGCAGCTTTATGTGTGTCACAGGAAGTCTCAGTGATTTGTGTTTCACTTGTGTATTTTGATGTGAAAATATTTGTGCAGACTGACCCATTGGACTCCTCCAGTGATCAGTGAAAACAGTTCATCACAGTGTGGGATTATTTTGTAGGTACAGACAGAAACTTTTGCACATAAACTGTTCTTTCTTGTTGTTTTTAAATAAACAGTAAGATAACCTAATGTGCAGAATATATTTTATAGGCTTGTGAACGTCTGAAAATGACGGGTTGTTGTTATATGTTAAATATGAGATAAGACCAAAAAGCTCATGCAGAACCTATTTATAATATTTTACTAAACTAAAAATGCTGATTTAGCAGTTTTGGAAAAGAAACCCATCTTTTTTTTTTTTTGTTTCTGTCCATTATCATTCCCTATTAGCTTGGATCCAGACCACTGCATTATTAATAAATGATACAGATACAATACTGACTTCAAAATTTTATATTTTATTTTGTTCAGGTCAAAGACCTAAACATTTTGTTTAAAAATAAGCATAAATATTTGACTCTTCTCAGATTAATCTCTCTCAACAAAATATCTGATCCAACTAGGATTATTTTAAATTCTGGTTTTGTGTCCAAGCAAATGCTTTCTGTATGTTCCTTTACAATTATATTTGTACAAATGCATTGTCTTTGGTTTTTATGCGTCGTGAGTCCCAAGCAACCATTGGGATCACTTATTACAGTCAAATGTAAGACTTACAACATTCAGCTGCTTGACAGCAAAGACTCTTTCTGAGAACATTTGGGATGACTTTTCATGAATGTGCTGTGATGACCAAATTTTTAAAAAATGTGTGTAATTAAACTGTTAATAAACACGTCACACATACGAACATTATACAAACCATTTCCAAACAGACTCAAGATGTAATACATGTCAAATCATGTTCCTGCATCCAGGAAACATGTCACTGGAAACTCATCCCTATCGTCACTTTTCATGCATGTGTGACCTCTTGATTATTTTTGTGCTGCGTGTCAGGCTGCTTTTCTGCCAGTGTTTGAGTCACTGAGTGAATATACTACCACCCCTTGTTGTTTACTTGTGCTCGATTTCATTTCCCCCCATGTCATTGCCCATTTCAGTCAGTGCAATACTAATGATCACACAGGCTTTTGCTAATAAAAGCAACCAACACTTGGCATGATAGGCGTATCTACGGTGGCCTTGAGGTGTAAATGAACAACACTTGAAAAAACGGAATTACATTTGAAAAAACGGAATAAAGGGCAGCACGGTGGCACAACTGGTAGAGCTGCTGCCTCTCAGCGAGCAGGTCTCTGGTTCAAATCCCAGTCCAGGAGCCTTTCTGTGTGGAGTTTGCATGTTCTCTACGTGCATGCGTGGGTTTTCTCCGGGTACTCCAGTTTCCTCCCACAGACCAAAAACATGCATGTTAGGCTGATTGGTAACTCTAAATTGTCCCTAGGTGTGAATGAGGGAGTGAATGGTTGTTTGTCTCGTTTGTCTCTATGTGTCTCTGTGATGGACTGGAGACCCATCCAGGGTGTACCCCGCCCCTCGCACTGTGATTGCTGGACATGGGCACCGGCGACCCCCGTGACCCAAAATGGAAGAAGCGGGTAAAAGATAATGGATGGATGGATTCCGTTTTTTTCTTCAAATGTGATTCCAGCTACTTCCACTATGGCTTAATGCAATTCCATTTTTTCAAATGTATTTCCTTTTTAAAAAAATGTAATTCCGTTGTTTCAAATGTTGTGTTTTTTTTTGTTTTTTTTTTATGTAATTCTGTTTTTTCAAATGTTGTTCATTTACACCTTAGGTCCACCCTATTCATATCACTGCTCCTTTCCAATAAATGATGATCTTCCACCCTCTGCTGGTCATAGTGGAGACATTCAGAGCCTGCTTAGTCCTGGGTCTCTCTGAACAGTTGCGACGCAATGGCTTTCAATGAATGTGACAAATCAGTATGTGAGTGTTGAACGACTGTTGCCTGGTTTTCTTACTGCTGCGCATAAGAGGTGCAAGACTTTAAATAAAAGCATAACTATTTTGTGTTTCAGCTGGTTTTACTCTGTATTTTGCATTTCTTTGATGTTTAAATGCGACAAAGTAGTTGAACATAACTGTCATCTATCTCAAAATCTTAGGTGCATCACTGAAATCGCAAAGTGTGGACATATCAGGAGAATCAGCTAAAAGAGCATCTGAGTCAGTACCAAAGCCTGACCAAGCCCAGAAGCCTGGTCCCAGTCAGAAACCAGCCCAAGCTCAGAAACCAAGCCCAGTCCAGAAGGCTGCATCTGTCACAAAGCCTCCCGTTCAGAGGCCTCCACCAATGACCAGAGCCCCATCTGTGACAAAGTCAGCCCAAGATTCTGCTTCCAGCTCACCCCCATCCAAAGCTTCACCATCATCTCCAGCTAAAGCAGCAGCATCTGTAGCTCCTGGCTCCCCTCCTGCCTCTCCCTCAGCCTCTGTTGCCACCACAGAGCAGCCTAAACCCCAAACACAAGGCTCCCCAACAGCGGCACCAGGCAAACCTAAAGATCTGCCCCCGAAACCAACACCGCCTGCAAAGCCCATTCCTCCTGTGCGCAGGAATTCCAAGCCACAGCTTCAGCCAAAACCACAAACCCCACCTCCACTAAAAGCTTCACCCAAACCCCAGCCTGCTGCCCCAGCCCAAGGCTCGGCATCCACTCGGGCTTTGGATGCTGCCCCAGTAAAGCCTCAGTCCCCAACCAAAACAAACCAGTCCCCACCTCACGCTCAGTCTCCAGCTAAGACTAACCCCCAGGCCAAGCCACCCTCTCCTTCCACTAATCCTGAGCCTGCTCCAGCTGAAGCAGCCGCTGCATCCACTGAAGCCTCGGCTCCTGTTGAAGAACAACCCCAGCAAAAGACCCATCCATTACTGAAGTAAGCACCAGATGATCAATGAAGTGTTGTTCATGCTAAAACAAGGATGTATTGGAAAATTACACATTTCCTAAAGAGTTTCCTCTTTGTTTTTGCTCCACAATTGCACCCCATTCACTTAATTATTATTCATATACTTCTTTTTCTCTTCTCATTTTCCTGTTCTTCTCCATAACCCCTTCCACTTCTTATTTTCTCTTTGTTTTCTTATTTGTTCCCTTAGTAAGTCCCAGTCTCTGACCAATGCCTTCAACGCCTTCAGCGACTCCTCCTTCTTCCGTGGGGTCTCGAGCTCCAGTGGCGACGGGCAGGAGGAGGCAAAGGCCGAAACCATTCGCAACCTTCGAAAGTCCTTCGCCAGCCTTTTCTCTGACTAGACGCAGACAAATTGCAGTTAGTCCCTAATCAATCCCGGCCATCTGTTTACCAGCGGCCAGGTGTCTACATTGAGATTATATGTGATCGAGTCTGAGATTAAAGTTTATGTGTTAACTGTACTTTATTCCCTACACCCTTCTTGAGCTAAACTTTTAGCTTCTCTGTGTGATGTTTCTTGACAATAACGGACCTGAAGGAGTTACGTCATTGATATACCATAGATTATAATATACAGTAGTAGAAAAAATTACAATAGAAAAACCTTTATTTTCACATAGCACATAAAATGAACCTATTCAAAATTATGTGGAAAGTGTCACATTTAAGATTACAGAAGATGTGTACATACGATATAGCATAGTATATGAATATAAATATATAGATCTATAAAAGGACATAAGCCAATTAAAGAAAAAAATATCCAGCAGCACTTTTTAATAAGCTTTGTCAGTGACATAACTCTTTCATTCAGTGGATTTATACAAAATTTAACCACTCAAACATTTAACATGTAATGGTTTTCCCAGTACTGTCAGTGAGTAAAAGAAAAATAATTTTATTATGATTTTTTTTTAAGGGTTTCTTCCTCTGTACTCAGCTACTTACTGCCAGGCTCATCCTGCCTGGCCCCTTTTTGTCTGAAGATCCTTGAAGTCCATCTTTTTGTGAGGGAGTTGGAACTATGTGTGTGTTCATCTGTGTTCACTATTTGTGCATGGCTCCTCCAAGTGGCTAAATGTGACTTTTGGAACAGATGGGAGCTCTATCAGTGTTGAGTTTTGCCCTTTGTCGCCTCTCCTAGATATTGTAGCCTTATTGTGAAGGTGTGTTCAATTCACAGCTGCGTTTCGTTTGCTGTGCAGACTTGGGTCCATCACAAGCTGAAATGCATTTGTTTACTATAAAGCCGTTAGCATTGTTGAACCAGTAAGGCCAAGCTTGATTGTCACAGTTTGGAAGCAGATTTCTGACTGAATCCATTTTGAAGAGTAAATTAATGCGTTTCAAATAGTTACTCGTGTCTGTAGATGTGAGTGGTGATTTCTTGTTTCACCTCTGTGTAGATCTATCAACAGTATTGTACTTTGTTGATTACTCTCATTAGAAGACATTGAGACAGTGGTGCAATAACACTTCACCAGGACTGTTGAGTGTCGTCACCCTAAATAAGTATCATACATACAAGATTTGTGTATCTGTTCATACTTTCTTCTTACATTCCCTTTAAGATTTCCTTCCATTTCAAGGCTGCTCTTAATCTGCAGTGAGCAGCAAGCTGTTACATGCTATGAAAGTTGGGGTTTATAGCTAATCTGATTTGTGCAGGTGACGTGGATTTATTGCAACCTGAAAAATATCACTTGTTTAACTACTGCATTTCACGCACATACAGTGTTAGTAAAAAAGAAGAGAGATCTCAACTCATAAACCAAATCATTGCAACCCGTCTGCCTGTCCTTTCCCAGCACTACCTTCAAAGTACATTTTAGCATAATGTATTTGTATATGTGTCAACCCAGAAGTTTATTTTTTGTAATACATTGGTTAACTTATTTTTGAGGCTTTGTATTTATGGTAAAGTATATATTGTTTTGTATTGTGTTTTAATTTGTAATGCAATATCGCTTTGCATGATCTGGTGACTGATGTTTTTTATTTTTTTTCTGTAAAGATACAAAAAGTCAATAAAGATGTGATTCTATCATTCCACTGATTCGCTGCGATCCAAACATATTTTGTCTGAGAGGCATCGTCTTTCAAATCTGTTTTATATAGTTGGCCTTTAGTTGCATAATCTACAGTATATTGCTTTGGCAGCATGCAAGGACTTCAATGTTTTAACTGAAAAGGTTAATAATACAAGCCAAAAAGTGTCATGTCATGAGAAATAAAGGATCCAGGACATTTGAAGCATCGTTTCTTACAAAACCCCCAGAAGCAGCTTCTGTTATAAAAAATTTTTTAGGATTCACTGTTTAACACGTCCCACAAACGGCTAAAATAAGAAAAGAAAAAAAAAACTCTACATTAAAAATTGTGAGGAAAAAAAACAAAACAAACAAAACTAAACAAAACAACAAAAAAACCCTAGAAGAATAAAAAGTACTGCATAGTTACGACACAAAAATAAACCGATAGGACAAAAATGTATGTTCAAACTCTAAGTTTGTCTTCTCAGTGTGAGGATTTTACTAATACCCAGAATAGTTGTGACCGAAAGAGCAATTCCAAGACATGATGTATTATTATATATATATATACATATATATATCTGATCTGTTTCAATGTTGATGTGTTCATGCGTGCACATCTGCTCACAGACTCATGTTCATGTTTGTGGTGATGTTCAATGTTTTATGTTATGAGTGCTTAGTGTATATTTAGTTGATGTTTTTCTTAGTTCATATCTTAGATGTTATTACTGTTTTTCTTATACATTTTATTGTTGGATGTAACTGGGACCCCGTGTACATAATTTCGCTCCACCACATGTACCACATGAGGTGCGAATGACAATAAAGAA